TTTACACCCATCGGTGAGCGCCCATCTGCCACAGCGCATATTCTCGATCGAAACCGGCAAAGCAACGAGCCCGCGGCGCATTTGTTAGAGAGTCGGCCTTCTAACCAGACAGATTGCGGGCTCGAGCATCAGAGGCTGGGTTGGGCATGGCTGGCTGGCTGGCTGATGACGGCTATTAAGCCTGAAATGATCATTCCAGACTCCCTTGTCTCTGTCGGTAATACATTTCTGTTTATAACCTCAACCTTCCGAATTTCTCAAAAATACAGTTTCACGTACTGTTACGCATCAAAGTTCCACAATCTGGTTATAGAACTCACGGAAATGTAAAAACACAACAGCGACAAGAACAACAACAACAACAGCAACAACACTAAATATTATCATGTAAGGTTTGTGTTTCTTGCTGACGTGGTTATAGCCGTTCGAAAAACTTTGCCCCTATTATGCGTTCACTAACTCAGAGTGTCAGACTCAAAACTAATTGTAGTATAGACATCCGCCTAGCATGTTTCACCTACTGAAAACGCGTTTTCAGGAGTTCGGTCAGTTTTTAAAAGAATTTCGGTTTTTTCCCATGCAAATTAAAATGAAATTTCTTGTGGTAACAAACAAACAAAATCGCCAACTTCTTACCGCGTATAAAACGTCGCCTTGAACTTTCCGGGTCGTGTGTGCCTTTATCCCCTCGCCCACATGTTCACACTTCATCAAATCATCACCAGTTATGGTCACAGTAGTCTAAACGAGGACACGTGTAAGTACCATCTGGGGCCGCTGCATTAACCAGATCACCTACCTGGACAGGCTTGCCATCTGGGTTTTGGTCCGCATAGGGAACGCCAGGCTTAAAGGAGGTCACGAAGGAATGTGTCGAGGTGGAAGTAGTGCATTCGTACTGATCGTCAGTGCAAGCGAAGGTCAAGGTAAGGGACAGGACGCCTGCCGCTTTCCTCTTCACGAAATTCACTCCAAGATGTTTGAGAACTACGTCTAGTCCGTCAACGCTCTCCTGTTTCCAACTTCCTATGAAAGCCGCCATTTACACGCTAAGCTGGCCCAGCCTTCAGTCGCCTCCTCTTATTACAATGCATGCCGCGATCTGATTGGTTCGGCAGTAAACCAATTAGAAGGCAGCCTTCAAGGACAGAGCTGAAAAATCAACGCCTAAGCACAGATGAGCATAACCGTAACAAAGGACGAAGGATTACTTGTCAACCGTTCATGCAGGATAAAAGTTCATCCATAAGTGCATCCAAAAGTTTTAACCACACGGCTTCTTTCTGCATTACCTAGTCAGCAGTACCAAACGTCTACTATTGAAGTTAGACCATATATTTGCCTTGGGCCTGTTCAAGCTGTCTCTGACACAAACGTCGCCGGGAAAATCCACTTTTTATCCATGATTATGGGTCTTTTTAGGGGAAGGAAATTAATAGGTGAGGCCCAAATTCCTGTTGCAAAGACGGTGAAGACGCAATCACTGAACCGGCGGGTTTATTAATCTGAGCTTTCGGACTCTCGTACGGGAGTCCGTGAGTAATTTTGTGGTTGACCAATGAGGGGGAGGTGTCCATCTGTGGGGTTGTAGACTGTAGGACTGACGAATCATTCCATGAGTCTGATGTACGTAATGCTTTTTACATCCTGTCAATGCTGTTGCCCAGATCTGGTATTTGGTACCCTAAACCTATGCTCGGCTTAGCAACCACACCACGGGCTGGTGATGCTATTCGGTAAGTGTATATCTACACACCCAGCAGTTCCCCGGGAGCTAATTATCTCATTCACAAACAGTAGAAAGGGCGACTTGCTGTCCAGGCTGAATTGGGTCGACTTTGCCCTAAACACAGCTCGTGGCCTATGGTGGTAGAATTCGAAAGTCGCTTGCAATAGCTCATTTATGGATAGCACTGCTAACACTTGTACGATTAGAGGAGCTAGAGCATGTGTTGCCGACTACAGACACACTACTTTTTGGATGCGGTTAAAATGCAGCTGCTTAATATGGATCAGTTCAAACGCCACAAAATACCAACTCGACTTCACTTTGTTGTTTTTTTTGTGCCCGCGGAGACGCAAAAATGGCTGTAGGTACACTGCAGCGGTCGATGTAGTGGTCGTACTCGGATCACTACAATCATCAGGTCGAATCCCAGGTGCAGTGTAAAAGACGTACAGTGGATCCCCTATCTCATGGAATGTCACCCGGAATTCTGAAATGCGTTTTCGATTCAAACATATTAATTACTTATGGTTGTAAGAATGACTATCGTACAGCCTAATCTCAATATATTTTGTTCACGTCAGGATGCCGGCTTTTGAACGAGCTTCTTTCTGACAGCCAATAAAAAGTATGTACTGTAAAAGGTGGCTGCTTAAGTAGTATGCATTTTTACCCTTGATTTTGACTGCCATTATAAACTCAACTATATTTTATGGAAAACACGAACGAAGAAATTATTTCTTGTACTCATTTCGTAGAAAATTGCGCCTTTAAATTTTATACTTAAAGAATGGGTACCTTTCGGTATAAAAAAAACTGCCTAATTATGAACGTTTTTGCAATTGTGAGGTGTTCATTCATTACACATCACATCCGTCAATTTATTAACGCTGCTTACAGCATGTTCCACAGTTGTTGCAATATTTTATGAGGATTATGTGACTTCTTCCTCAAATCGTAGGCGATAACGTACTTTTCGTTAAACAGGATGTACAGAGCGCGCAGTTTGTAAACCTTGAATTCAAGTGTAACAGTCAGTAGGTTTGAAAATAATTCGGCGATTTATAAACTTTTTATACCGAAAGATACCCATTCTTTAAGTATAAAATTTAAAGAAGTCGCAATTTTCTACAAAACGAGTACAAGAAATAATTTTTTCCGTTTATGCTTTCCATAAAATATAGTTGAGTTTATAACGGCAGTCAAAATCCATGATGAAAATGCATACAACTTAAGTAACCACTTTTTACAGTACATAGCTTTTATTGGCTGGCAAAAAGAAGCTCGCTAAAAAGCCGGCATCCTGACGTGACCAAAATATATTGAGATTAGGCTGTACGATAGTCATTCTTACAACCATATATAATTAGTATGGTTGAATCGAAAACGCATTTCAGAATTGCGGGTGACATTTCATGAAATAGGGAATCTACTGTAAGTTACCAGAGTGAGGGTTTTATTGTGCACAGAACTCTGTGTTGCTCTCTCAGACAGCAGCGGCCACTGGCAGAGCAAGGGCCAGTGTTGACTGCGTCCAGCCCTACCCGAGAGTGATGACTGAGTACTGTGATAATGACAGCTGCTTTTACAGGACTGTGAAGCGAGTTCAAGTGGAGTGTGATTGGTGTTGCTTTTCCCGAAGGGGCATCCAGTATTAAGGCCCATGCTGCGTCGGTTTAATGGGAACATTGAAGTGGCCCTTCGGCAGGCGTGCTTATTTTGACGCGCG